TGGTATTCCATCAATCCCCAGTGCCTTGTTCTTGGCCAATGCTTTCAATGCACCTTGGACTTCTTCCTTCAGTATCATTGGCTCTTGATCATATGCTACCTCTTGAAATGGTTGAACATCAACAATTTCTTTTTGGTATAATCACTGTATACTGTCCATCTTCTTTTGATGCTTTCTGCATCATTCAGTATTTTGTCCATGTTGTTGTTGTTAAGTTTGGACATGTTGTTAGGAAAGACCAGTCCCTATAGAAGGACATCATGCTTGGTATAAAGTGCAGGGTCAGTGAAAAAACAAAAAAAAGGAAGACCCTCAAGAAGATGGATTGACACAGTGGGCTCAAACATAACAGTTGTGAGGCTGATGAAAGCCCAGGTAGTTCTGTTACAAGTAAGGTGACTATGAATTGGAACTGACTTGACAGCATCTAACAACAACGTTTTGTTTGGAGTTTTCACTCTTCAGTATGAAACACAAACATTTCCTTATGGGATGGGGGTTCATTTCCAACGTCCCCTCTGCACACCAGGACTTCCACATGCCCTCTACCTCTCAGTTAATCTCTCCCACTCCTTTAATGTTCCTGGGTTCCAGACACAAACAGATACATCTCTACAAGAACATCTTGTCATCACTACTGTCTTGGTTACTTTCTCAGACCCTTTCAACACCTTACCTTCCCTAAGGAAGAACAAATCCCATAGTTCTTTGCAAACTAACCAAATTATATTACAGTTATGGGTGTCTCATTAGACCAAGGGTCGGGAATCTTTTTTCTGCCAAGTGCCATTTGGATATTTATAACATCATTTGTGGGCCATATAAAATTATCAACTTAAAAATTAGCCTGCTATATTTGGTCAAACATTTAACTGACACCTAATACGATGGCTAAGGAGCTCTGGTAGCGTAGTGGTTACGAGTCAGGCTGCAAACCTCAAGGTCAGCAGTTTGAAACTACCAGCAGTTCCGCGGGAGAAAGATGAGGCTTTCTGCTCCTGTAAAGATTTGCAACCTTGGAAACCCTGTGCAGGGGTCACTATGAGTTGGAAATGACGCCACAGCACACCATCACCACCACAACCAATGTGATGGCTGGAACTGTGATTGCCTTGGTAGGGCCAGACCAAACAATTTTGAGGGCTTTATACGACCCGCAGGCTGGATGTTCCCCATCCCTCGACTAGACAATAAGCTTCTGGCGGTCAGGAACTATGCGCTACTCATCTCTGTAACCCAGCTCCTAGCAGACTGCCTGGCACAGAATATGCTCAATAAATATTTACTGATAGTGGTGAAGTGAACAGTTGTGCTTGCCAATTATTACCAGCTAACCTGACTTGGAGTTTTGCCATAGATTTCCCAAACAAAAGAAGTGAGGATTGAATTGGAACGTTTTCAACATTTCCATTTTATTTAAGAATTTTCTTTTCCATCTTAAAAGATAAAAAGCAAAGTTCATTTTACAAAATTCATCCAAATACATGGAGTACAAAATACAGAGCAAATCCAAGAGGAAGGGTTTCCACCTCAACCCTGCACATTGGGAGAAAGGGTTTAAACAAGAGGTGTAGCTGAGGGATGGCACGTGCCCTGGGAGCCACTTGAAGAGGGGAGGTGCCACTGAGCAGTTTCTATTAATCATGACAGTTTCCATCACCAGCTGTGAGAGGTCATTCTATAAGTTAAAACTAGTAATTTCATATCTGAGAGCCTTCAAGAGTCAAGACAAGGGGCACTAGTGGTGCTGCAGAATAAGCACTGGGTTACTAACCACAGGTCAGCAGTTCAAACCCACCAGCAGCTCTTCAGGAGAAAGATGAGACTTTCTACTCTCATAAAGACTTACAGTCTTGGAAGCCCTATGCAGAGTTGCTGTAAGTTGGAACCAACTCAACAGCACCTGACAACAGCAATGCGCCAAGACTAGCTATATATTCTTGTTCTGCTGAGTGTAGAAAGAGAAAAAAATTTTAAATGATGTTGAGCACATCATAGATAAATTTTCATCAGTGAAAACAAGGAAGGTGTAGTTGTAATTTTCATGCAGTTCTCCCATCAAACCCAAACCCACTGCCATCAAGTCGATTCTGACCCATAGTGACCCTGTGTTGTTAAGTGCCTCCGAGTTGGTTCTGATTCATAGTGACCCTGTGTTGTTGCGTTAAGTGCCTCCAAGTCGGTTCTGACTCATAGAGATCCTGCATAGGGTTTCTAAGGAGCAACTGGTAGGTTTTGAACTGCTGACCTTGTAGTTCAAAGTCCAGTGCTGATCCTAAAGTGCCACACCAGCAGTCCAGTGACCCTATAGGATAGGGTAGAACTGTCCCCATAGGGTTTCCAATGCTATCAGACTTCATGGAAGCAGACTGCACATCTTTCTCCTACAGAGTAGTGAGTTTGATCCACCAACCTTCTGGTTAACAGCGAAATGCTTTAACCAATGTGCTACCAGGACTCCTTGTACAGTCCATAATGTGTCTTTTTGAGCTGATATAGTAAAGCTGGTGTGATGCTGTGGGTTAATGTGCTGGACTGCAAAGTTGGTTTGATCCTCAAAGTCAGCAGTTCAAGTTCACCAGTCGCTCCCCAGAAACGCTATACAGGGTCGCTATGGGGTGGAACCAATGCAACGGCACTTAAAAACAAGCCATAACCCTAACATGAAACAAAGTTCTAGGTCTTGCCTATACCTAGCCATAGTCCAACCCTAGCTCCTTACTTCTACCCACCCATCCCCCAAATGAAATGGAATGCATAAAAATCTATATCCTAGGCATTAGTGAGCTGAAATAGATGGTATTGGCCATTCTGAATCCAAAATCATATGGTTTACTATGCTGGGAATGACAGATTCAAGAGGAATCATGTCACATCCATTGTCAAAAAACATTTCAAGACCTATCTTGAAGTACAATGCTATTTGTGGTTGGATAAAATCCATATGCTTAATATCACTATTTATTCAAATTTACACACCAACCACTAAGGCCAGCGATGATTAAATCAAAGAATTCTACCACCCTCTTCAATCTGAAATTGATCAAATAGGCAATCAAATTGCATTGATAATTATTGGTGATTGGAGGGTCAGCGAAAACCAGGAAGATCCCCAAGGAAACGGACGGACATAGTAGCAGCAGCAGCAATGGGTTCAAACACAGAGACAATTGTGAGGATGGTGCATCCTGGACAGTGTTTCGTTCTATTCTGCATAGGGTCGCTATGACTCAGAACTGACTCAGCAGCACCTAACAATAATGGCAACAGTTTTCAGGCAGAACTTCTAGGTTGTTCTGCACAGATGTTCTCCACATTCTGTGAAAACATGAAGCTTCCTGTGGGCCATAGGAATACATTCCTAGAACTGCACACTCTCTTACTGAGGCAACTAAGACCTGCAACTTGTGCTTGACCAGCATCTAGAAAGCTCTAGACCAGCTGTGCTATCTAACAGGGTTACCACTTATCACAGGTGACTCTCTAAATTCAAATAATTAATACCTAATATAATTTAAAATTCCATCCCTGGGTACCCCTGATAACATTTCAAAATCAAAATCTCTATATGTGGCTTCTTGTTGTCAAGTGCCATTGAGCTGGTTCCAATTCATAGAAACTCTGTATAGTGTTTCCAAGGAGCAGCTGGTGTGGTGTGTTTGAACCACCGACCTTATGGCTTACAGTCCAGTACCTGCCCAACAGCACCACACCAGTGGCTGCCATACTGAACAGCACAGATATAAAACATTTCCATCACTGCAAAAAGTTCCACTACTTAGCACGGAGCCATTGAAACTGAGACAAATGACAACTAAAGGCAGTGTGATCCTGGACTGGAGAATGAACAGCTGATGGAACGTAAACTAAGTCTGTAGATGAGTTAATAGTTTTGCATCCGTGTTAATGTTCTGTAGTTGAACCTTACACTATGGTTAGATCTTAACATTTGGGGAAGCTGTGTGAAGGGTATTCAGAAATTCTTTGTGTTGTTTCTGCAATTTTTCTTCTAGGTCTGAAATTATTTCAAAATGAAAAGTTAGTAAAACTTTTTAGACTAGTAAGACAGGAAGGTAAAAATGAAATGACATGTCTCCTAGAACCAGCAAAGTATACAAATCAGTTTGTGAATACAAACAGTTGTGGTTCAGCATTCCTAAAGGCCAGTAAATGAGGGGGTGTTGATAGGTGACTTCAAGTGGGTTTTGACTCACTAGTGATCCTATGTGACAGAGAGAGAACTGCCCCACAGGGTTTTTTTTTAGGCTGGACTCTGTATGTGGGTTAGGCAATTGATTGCTAACTACAAGGTCGGCAATTCAAACTCACCCCGTGCTCCATGGGAGACAGATGAGGCTGTCAGTTCCTGTGAAGGTTTACAGTGTTGGAAACCCTGAGGAACAGTTCTGCTGTCCCATAGGGTTGCTGTGAGTCGGAAGTGACTCACTGGCATTGGGTTGGAATCTCTATGGAAGCAGATAACCACAGAGCTGCTGGATGGGCTCTAACGGACAACCTTCAATTGGCAGCAGAGCTCTTTACCCTGGCACCTTGAGGGCTCCTTAGTGAATGAGGTAAGGGGGTCCGTTTTGTTAAGTGATGCCTGGAGCCCTTTCGGCAGCCTGGAGTGGGAGGAGTGGTGGACTTGGAAGCTGGCTTTGTCCTCTCTGAGTCTCAGTGTTTGCTCTGTCAAAATACCTCTTTTCCCTCAAGGGAATGCTGAGCCTGAGGCGATGATGGAGGTGAAGGTGAGCTTAGAGCTGCAAAGTCCATACCCATAGAAAGGTATTCCAGTAAAACTGAGCAGACCCCTGGACCAATGCTGGTAAACAAGATTACCCACATGCTCGTCACCCACAACCAGGAGTTTCAGTAGAAGCAGCTAGATGTCTGTTAACAGTGTTTGGGGCTTTTAAATTTTTTATTTTAAGCCCTTAAAATGGTAGTCATCCACTGTCCAGGTGGCCCCACATCCGAGGTCCCAGGCCGACTCCTTCCAGTTACATGACTGTGCACCTCCTGGGATCACTGGGATCTGCATTTGCTTTCTTTCTGACGCTTTCTGCAAAAGACAAGAGTCTTACTGCCTCACATTGCCTGACCTCTACTTCACAGGGCTGGTTTTATGTTTCAGTGGCCTGCTAGAGTTTATGCTAAAAGACACAATATTGAAGAACATTTTGGAAAGAGGAAAAAAAAATCCTCCTTAATTTCTCCATCCTTTGATTTTCTGCCCTTGTCCCCATGCGGTTCGTCTTTGTTCTGCAGGCTTTGGGCAGCTGTGGAGTTGGCACCACACTGTGGACTTTTCCTTTAATCATAGCTACGGTTTTCCTTGTTGATTCACAGCTAATGGAACTTTCTGAACAAGCAATAACTGTGTAATGGCCCATCCTGTGGCTGCCCCCTTAGTGCACTAGCTTGATACACATTACGATGTTGGAGCCTTTTTCATCATGAGCTGATTTTGTTTTTAATGAGAGATTAGTAAGGAAACGTTTTATTCTGCCTTCCTGATGGCTCTATAGGATGCCTAGAGCCCCACATTAGGCTTTCCTGATTGGCAGACTTAAATGGGTTTTGATGGTCTCTGACATTTTATTTAGCCAATTCTGACTGGTTCAAGTCATTACAATCTAGTTCTGGCCCATGTTTCTTAATATTTGTGAAACTATGAATATATAGAAATATTTAAAATATTGGAGAGACGTCTGAAGGTTGTTGCAGCTTTATTTATAAACAAGAAAGAAAGAAAGGGGGGAAGGGAGGAGGAAGAATAGATGCTTAGAGAGAAAGATATTATAGCACTGCTGGTTTTGGGGGTGTGAAGGTCATAGGGATCATCTGAGCCAATACCCCATGACACAGATGGGAAAACACACTGAGGCAATGTGGTTTGCCCAAGTCTCCATTTTCAGGTCTAGAGGGAAGCAGGGCTAAGACCAAGAATGTAGATGGTCAAGAGTTGCCCTCACTGCATGCCCTACCCACTCAGGAAACCCCTGACCCTCGGGTCTGGCACTGCCTTGAGCAAGAACCAGGCCAAGCATGCTCTTACCAGCCAGGTCCCTCCTGCCAATGGCCACGAGGCCTTCGAAAAGTGCTTTACTGGGGTTCTCGCCAGCTGTGTCCACACCGTGTAGCCAGATGAGCAGCATCCGATGGCCATGTTCCCTGTAGCTTTTGGTGCCTGAAGATGATTGAAGAAAGAGAGAAGGAGCAAGCAGGACTGAGCCTATGTCTGCGCCACCCTATGACCTTCCGAACCGAAGGCAGGAGAGTCTTCCTTGATCCCATGGAGCTCAGCTGGAGATCTCAGTGAAGGGAAGAGAGGAGCTGTCTCTCAGATGGGGTGGGTGTGGGGTCCCTATGCCAGTACCTCTAGAACCTCCCAGCCCTAGGCTCCCTACTAAACATCCACCATCTGCTCTAATAATGTCACTCTAAGAAAGAATTGGCATTCATTGTTGTGGTACCATGATGCTCATGATTGTACACTTCGGCTGCTCACAATAATCTATGCCTAGCGTGTTCTTGGCCCTATTTTCCAAGTGAGAAAACTGCTTAGTCAGAGACAGAACTGACCATGTTCTTCCCTGTGCACCACTGAGCCACAACCTTTACTGTTCTCTGGAAATACCTGGGAAGCTTGGGCCCATCCCCAGCAGTTTTGATGTACCTGGGTCTGTGTACAACCTAGCGACATCACTAGGGGTGGCACTGTCAGAAGGGATGGCCCCAAAATTAATGTCTATAAAAGTTTTGTTCGGTGTTTCTGCAGACATTTATTCTTTTCTATAAAAAATATTCCTATAGTTAGAGTTGTAACAACAAAAAAAATTTTTTTAGTGAGTCCAGCTTATTAAAAGGCGAAAGCGAATGTATGTTTTGAGCCTTCTACTGTGCCCCATCAGAGCTGTCATTATGATCCAATTCAGTGACGCTTCAAATCACGTGGTTTCACCCGCATGTGCTACAAGTGTATGCTGTTGTTTTTTCTGCTGCTATTTTTACAGCTGCTGATTTTGTCACATTTTCTAGTGTTTTAGCTATGTGGTAAGTAGTATTTATGAACCTATATCCATAGCATTTTTTTTTTTTTAGAATGAAGAATTAATTAAAAGGAGAAAACTTAAAAAAAAAAAAAAGACTTCTACTCAGCTATGAATAATATGAATAATGTTATAACTAGTAATGTTGTTATTCAATGTAGAAAAGTCTTACAAAACAATTGTTTTTAGTATTCATATAGGCTATATGAATACTAAACAGTTTACAACTATAGTTATCATATTTGATTCTGTGTTTAAAATTCATCATAAACAGAGCTGGGGTTCTGTCTGGTTTAGTATGGGAGGAGGTCCTCTACACTGAGTGTTGTAGAACCTTGCCAGATGATTTCAATCTGCAGCCATGTTTAGAAACGATTGCTGTCAGTCCTGAATGCCCCATGGTAGGGGTGAACTTGTTTATTAAACTCTGCTCTCCAGGCTAGGGACACAGACGCTCAGGGGCAGTCATCAGATCCCGTCACTGTTTCTGCTGTTAGTGTCTCCCTCTGGGCTCTTGCAGAAGTGAAACCTGTTTGACTTATTCTCAGGGTCAGGCACTGATTAAGAACCTGACAAACTGCAATGAGAAGGTGAGTAACTTGCTGGAAATTACACTGCTGGTCAGGGATTAACCTGCTTTCAGCCCAGCTCTGTCATACTTGAGCCTAGAGTCTTCACCAAGGCATGCTGCCTCTCTTTATACCCCAGCCCCTAGCTCAAGGCCTTTAAGTAACTACACAGTGATGGCAAGGACTTAATGCAGCTGGGCTGTGGATTGCACAAGCTCTTTTCCCAGAAGCAGAGAAAACTAAACACACCTCAGGTGCCGCAATCCCTTTGCTCAGTTAGTTGGTCTGGGGTGGGGAAAGGTAAGGCAGTACCTGTCCACTGTTGCTCAATGGCGTGGATGTGGGCCTCAGTGAACTCCCAGGAATATGCAAGCCTCTTCCATTCATGGGGCCGCAGGTCCATGGAGGCCAGTTGCCACAGCACAAAGCGGAACCGCTTCGTCTCCTGCTGATGGTCCTGCTTGAATGTCAAGCTCTTTCCAGAAGGGCCACTGAGGTCCCTGCATGAGAGTTGGTCCTGTGGAGCAGATCCCAAAAGTACAAAAACTGTTTGGGAAAATCCCTGTCCACTTCAGCCTCCTGATCCTGGATGGGGCAATGCAAGGTCCAGGCCCGTATGACCTATTATGGCCTTCACTGGGAAATGCAAGAATTGGCACCATCATGGGTCTAGGCTTAATGTTCACTAGACTTTCTGACTCCATGCCTTGCCTTGAATGAACCCTGGAACTCAATCTGCTCACACTGTTCTTCCACCCAGAATTCCTTTTCTCAGCTCTCTGTCCCTTAGCCCCATTGTCACAGTTCATAGAACACCCACATGCCATCTCTTCCAAAGAAACCTTCTCAGTTTTTCTGGACAGACGCCTCTCTTTTTCCTGTCCTCTAATAGCACAGCTATTGAAAGAGTTACCTAGGAATCTGTGTCCCAAACCAGGCAGCGCAAGAATCAAGCATTACACTTGTTGAACCCCAACAGATAGTAAAGCAACTTGGGTAGAGTTAAAAAATTCTCTCTACCCAAAGCAGGTGATTAAACAAGAGGTGAGAAAAGAAATATGTGGTAGCAGAGATTAAGCCTTGTTGTTGTTGTTAAGTGCCATGGAGTCAGTTCCGACTCATAGTGACCCTACACAGGGTTTCCGAGGCTGTAAATCTTTACGGGAGCAGAACGCCTCATCTTTCTCCCGCGGAACC